AAATCGTATACTATGTTTCCTTCGCTCAATATGCACCCACTATTACTATGTCTGTTAAGATTGTTTACAAGTAGATGTGGATGGATTTATGGATAGGAGAGACAGTACAAGTAAAACACTTTTGCGATTTATCAGCCATGGCGTCGATACAATCATGACGAAAGAACTACCATATGTCTCATCAGTGGTGATGCTGGACAACTTTTGGTTGACTGGCAGCTCGTCTACCGGCACGCCACTCTCGTCCAACCTGCTTGTAGATTTTTAACCTATTCCCTGAAGCGCGTCACAGGAAATAACATGGGTGACAAAAAGCTGGTGAAAATCTTCAATATCTGCCTCGCGGCCCAAAGTTGGAAATTTTGTCTAAATTCACGATCCTGTCAACATCCAGGTCTTCGAAGGACCTCTATGCGAGCGCCTCAAAAGCCTGTAGGCATTGCAATGTCTTGGAGTTGTTGCGGATCGACTAGAGGCGTAGTGAACAAATGAGAATGAGGGCAGAAGGGAGGGAGAAGACGAGCGAGTGGGCATTGGTGAGCGAAAAAGAAAGAAGCCAGTTGACTACGACATGTTGGGAAAAGCGAAATCATATGTGACAGGCTTACGCTTTTAACTTTGGGACGTTGCGGAAGGTGCCCAGTGTTATCAAGACGAGCGTGATCGGAATGTTACCGGAATTTTAACGATCCCGGTTACATTGATCATCTGCGTAGTGGTCGGATTTCACTTGTTCGATAACCTAACAATCGATGGAGATTTGTAAGAATATGCTACTGTATTAGGATGTGGTATAATGGTTTACAAATCAAAATTCACTATACCTTGAAGAGGCAAGGGTGGCACTTGAGGAAAAAAAAAAAAGAAAGTGGGTCAACAATTGTATATTGTAAAGGAGTTTGATTTGATAATATTACTGTTGAAAAAATGTTAGTACTATTACTATGCATCAAAACTGACATTTATCTAAAGTCAAGCAAAGTATGTAGCATGATTCATTTGTGATGCATACATTATATATGTAATAGGATTCATGTCCCCAGCCCAGCTGTGACTAGAAAAAAGAACTTGCTTTCACTACTCAAAAGCCTGTCCAACCTTCCCAGTTGTAATTCCTCAGTCTTTACTAAAACATCTTCCACCTGTGTGATATCTCCCCTCTTTTTTATTATTATAATGGGAAAGATCCCCAAAATTTCATCTTTATCTTTTGGTGATAGTAATAGACAAGTCCAAATTAACACCTTTTCTGTAAACTCTGATTTAACCAGTCTTAGTCTCTCAATGACTGTGATGGTATCCAGTCTGCTAATACTAAGTGAAGTTTTCATAATTGCCTTGTTATTGGCCTTCAACCAAAAGAATTTCCAGCAATCTGTCCAAGTCTGTTAATATAATACAAAACTACCTGATATATGATACTGATGGTAATAGCATGAATGGATGTCTGACAATATCAACTGACACATTGCCTGCAGAGAATAGTAAATTAAAATAGGATTTCTGCACCTGTTTCTTCAACCCAA